GTTTAGGTTTAGGTTTAGGTTTAGGTTTAGGGTTAGGGTTAGGGTTAGGGTTAGGGTTTTGTTTAGGTTTAGGTTTAGGTTTAGGTTTAGGTTTATGGTTAGGTTTAGGGTTAGGGTTAGGGTTAGGGTTTGGGTTTGGGTTAGGGTTAGGGTTAGGTTTAGGTGTAGGTTTGGGTTTAGGTTTAGGGTTAGGTTTAGAGTTATCTTTAGGTTTAGGGTTAGGTTTAGGGTTAGCTTTAGGGTTAGGTTTAGGGTTAGGGTTAGTGTTATGTTTAGGTTAGGGTTAGCTTTAGGTTTAGGTTTAGGGTTAGCTTTAGGTTTAGGTTTAGGTTTAGGTTTAGGTTTATGGTTAGGTTTAGGGTTAGGGTTGGGTTAGGGTTAGGGTTAGGGTTAGGGTGTGGTGTTCTTTGGATGCAACACAGCATTCTTTGTCCTCCAAACACGACGAGTTGAGTTTTTACCAAAAAGTTATATTTTGGTTTCATCTGACCATATGACATTCTCCAGATCCTCTTCTGGATCATCCCAATGCACTCTAGCAAACTTCAGACGGGCCTGGACATGTACTGGCTTAAGCAGGGGGACACGTCTGGCACTGCAGGATTTGAGTCCCTGGCGGCGTAGTGTGTTACTGATGGTAGGCTTTGTTACTTTGGTCCCAGCTCTCTGCAGGTCATTGACTAGGTCCCCCCGTGTGGTTCTGGGATTTTTGCTCACCGTTCTTGTGATCATTTTGACCCCACAGGGTGAGATCTTGCGTGGAGCCCCAGATCGAGAGAGATTATCAGTGGTCTTGTATGTCTTCCATTTCCTAATAATTGCTCCCACAGTTGATTTCTTCAAACCAAGCTGCTTACCTATTGCAGATTCAGTCTTCCCAGCCTGGTGCAGGTCTACAATTTTGTTTCTGGTGTCATTTGACAGCTCTTTGGTCTTGGCCATAGTGGAGTTTGGAGTGTGACTGTTTGAGGTTGTGGACAGGTGTCTTTTATACTGATAACAAGTTCAAACAGGTGCCATTAATACAGGTAACGAGTGGAGGACAGAGGAGCCTCTTAAAGAAGAAGTTACAGCTCTGTGAGAGCCAGAAATCTTGCTTGTTTGTAGGTGACCAAATACTTATTTTCCACCATAATTTGCAAATAAATTCATTAAAAATCCTACAATGTGATTTTCTGGATTCTTTTTCCTCAATTTGTGTGTCATAGTTGACGTGTACCAACTAATGGTAAATTACAGGCCTCTCTCATCTTTTTAAGTGGGAGAACTTGCACAATTGGTGGCTGACTAAATACTTTTTTTCCCCACTGTAAATGAACAAGCCGACAGCCTATGGCATGAAGCATAGCCAGATAACACAGGCTTACAGTAGGCCAACTCATATTCTCATATCATAAAGTTTCGTTAGACCTAACTAAAATAAATAATGGATTTATTGTGATGGTGTATATTAAATTGATTTTTTATACTTTTTTTTTTAAATATAGATGTTCCAAAGACGCACATCAGCAGCTTGTATGGGTGGAGACCTGGAGATGCTAAACATGTTTATGTTAATTAATGGTCAATTAACGTGAGACCGGCAGTCTTTTGCAAGACAATAACCAGCTGACAAAATGTCATGACTGCCACAGCCCTATCCCTTCTCCCATATTCTCCCCCAGAACCTATCCACTGCATGTCTCCCCACCCCCACACTGTCCCCTATGGTTGGGGTTACAGGGTCCCTGTCTCTCTGACGTCCACCCTCAACACACACAGCTGGGCCTTCCTACAATACAGTCCCTCTGGACACTCTCTTCTTAATTCACTACCCACCCCCTCCCCTACAGGCCAAGGTCCCTGCCCTCATCTGTTGGCATTAAACGTACACTCGTCTCCATCCCTGTCACTATTATATGGACACACAGGACACACAACACACACACACACACACGACACATACACACACACACACACACACACACCAATAACATGGTGACTCAGCACTGTGTCTCTATAGACCAGGGAGGGGAAGCCTCTGTGTGTGTTCAGAACCCCACACTCCCCTGTCACTGGTCATTAGCTCCATCTGCCACAGGACAAGAGGGGTTAGGTTAGGTTTAGGTTTAGGTTTAGGTTTAGGGTTAGGGTTAGGGTTAGGTTTTTTGGGGTTGGGTTGGGTTGGTTTGTTTTGGGTTTGGAGGTTTAAGGTTCTTTTAGGTTGGGGTTTTGGGGTTTAGGGTTAGGGTTTTGGGTTCGGTTTTTTTCTTTTTTTTTGGGTTTGGGGTTTTATTTTGTTTTTTTGGGTTTTTTTTTTTGGGGGCGGGGGGGGGGTTTTGTTTGGGTTTGTTTGGTTTGTTGGTTGGTTTTTGGTTTGGGTTTTTTGGTTTTGGTTTTTGGTTTAGGTTTAGGTTTAGGTTTTAGTGTTTATGGTTTTCCAGGTTTCGGGTTCGGGTTAGGGTTCCGGTTATGTATTAGGTTTCTTCTTTTAGGTTAAAGTTAGCTTTAGAGTTTAGGGTTAGGGTTAGGGTTAGGTTAGGTTCGTTTCAGGGTAGGTTTCGGGTTATCGGGTTCGGTTCGGGTTAGGAGTTCGGGATTGGGTTCGGGTTCGGGTTACGGTTCAGGTTCGGAATTCGGTTCGGGTTCTGAGTTCGTGTTGGGTTTCCGGTTGGTTTCGGTTTCGGCTTCGGTCGGGTTCCCTTCGCTTTCGGGTTTCTGGTTCGTAGTTTGTATTTTGCGTTTTGGTTTTCGGTTTCGTTTATGTTCGGGTTCGGTTCGGGTAGGGTTAGGGTTAGGAGTTAGTCGTTAGGCTGGATGAGAAGAGGGGGCTTAGGCCTGGCGTGGTGACTAGCCTGTCTTCTCGCTTAGGACCACTTTACCCCCAGGTGTGACATTTACCTGGCTACAGGCAGCCATTTGAATGGGAGTGAACGTATATTTTGGATGAGTTTGCTCAGATTACACACAACCACAACACCACCAAAAGGCATGACCTTCACAGCGGTTGAAAGAAAACTCTTCTATATTTATACACACACACCTATTGTCCCCAAAGAACAAATTGCAGTTTACTATAGAGTATACCGTATTAATTATAGAATTCTGTAGTAAACTGTAGTATAGTGTAGAATTCTATACTACACACTGTAGTATCGCTCAATCATGTGTAGTACTTAATATAGAATGTTGTAAAATACTACAGTATTATCAGAAAAAAAACATTGTAGTGAATACAACATTAATTTCTGCAGAAAAACACCACTGTCCGCAAAACACTATATTTTTCAAAAACTATAGTAAATACTACAGTATTTAATTTGCATATACCCTTCCTATTCCCCTCCCCCATATCCCAATTTGTGAGAAACCTACATGCAAATGTATAGGTCATTTATTGTGTTCCCTACAGGTTATAGAAAAGACCCCAGTCCTACCTACCTACATACCTACAGGTTATAGAAAAGACCCCAGTCCTTCCTTCCTTCCATCCTACCTACCTACCTACCTACCTACCCCCCCCCTCTCTCTCTTCTCTTCTCTCTCTCTCTCTCTCTCTTCTCTCTTCTCTCTCTCTCTTTTCTCTCTCTCTCCTCTCTCTCGCTTCTCTCTCTCTCTCCTTCTTTAGTCGTCATCTCCTTAATCTCTTCTCTCTCTCTCTTTTCTCTCTTCCTCATCAGTCAACCATTTAATCAGTGTTTAATTTCACAGTCTATTGTCCCTGTTCTATCACAACCACTTTGAGATTGGCTGACTGTTGTCACCAGTCATTCTGAGCAGCCAGTGTTTCATCAGCCAGTGTTTCATCAGCCAGTGTTTCATCAGCCAGTGTTTCAGCAGCCAGTGTTTCAGCAGCCAGTGTTTCAGCAGCCAGATGTTTCCAGGCAGCCCAGTGTTTTCCTCCATTTTATCCCCTGTTTCAGCAGCCAGTGTTGTGTATCCAGCGCCAGTGTTTCAGCAGCAGTTAGCGCAGTGTTTTCAGCAGGTTAGGCCAGTGTTTCAGCAAGCCAGTTTTCACTCTTTTCATTTATTTTAATCCTCTCTCGCTTTCATCTGACGGGTTTGGATCCCTGCCTACTTCTAGCCGCAGTGGCAAAGATAATGTTAAGAGAGTTGACGGACAGTTCCTCAGCAGAGTGGAGGAGATTGGATTAGCGAACTCTGTTTGTGGCAATGCTTCCAAAGACCTCTGCGACTCAAACAGGGAGAGGGTTACACACACACACACACACAGACACTCACACTCACAGTCTCACACACAGACACTGACACTCCCAGTCTCACAAAGAGACACACTTGCTCACACACCTCTGCAGCGGGAATTTATAGCAAATTCACTTACAGCCACATTGCAATAAGCGCACCATAAAAGGGAATTGAATCTGGGAACAATTCAGTCTGATGATGTATGATCTCCTGTCTGGGTGAATCACTGTAAAGTCTGCTGCCTCAGCCTGCTGACACACTGAAACACACGGGAGAGAGGAACAGCTCAGCTCTCTAGAGGGACAACTATAGCACCAGACTGGAAACACTATCTATAGTAAGAGAGAAAGAAGAGAGTGGAACTGAGAGGAGGAGCAGAGCCAGAGCCAGAGACAGAGAGACAGAGAGACAGAGAGACAGAGAGACAGAGACAGAGACAGAGACAGAGAGAGAGAGAGAGACAGAGACAGAGAGACAGAGAGACAGAGAGACAGAGAGACAGAGAGAGAGACAGAGAGACAGAGAGAGAGAGAGAGAGAGACAGAGAGACAGAGAGACAGAGACAGAGACAGAGACAGAGACAGAGACAGAGAGACAGAGCCAGAGCCAGAGACAGAGACAGAGCCAGAGACAGAGACAGAGAGACAGAGAGACAGAGACAGAGACAGAGACAGAGACAGAGACAGAGACAGAGACAGAGACAGAGACAGAGACAGAGACAGACATAAAGAGGGTTTCTTCAACCAAACAGCATTATGACGCTAGATAGATGGATTAAATCCTGTCTGTTAACCAGTGGTTCCTACATCTGATGTATGATGATGATGATGATGATGATGATGATGATGAGGATGTGTGTCTGTATGTGTATGTTAAGTGTTGAGTGTGTGACATATTTGACCTCTGACCTCTTTGTGTTTTCCCAGGTGGCCGAGCAGCTGATGACCATAGCGTATGAGAGTGGAGTCAACCTGTTTGACACGGCGGAGGTGTACGCTGCTGGAAAGTGAGTCAGGATATAATAACACACCCCTTTACTGTAACAACAGGTCAGCTGTGTGATACTGAGTACTGAGAGGATTTGCCATGCCTTCTTGCTTTTCAGAGCTGAAGTCATATTGGGTAATATCATCAAAAAGAAGTCCTGGAGGTAGGTTACTGTGTGTTTGATCTAGTGTATGTGTAAAACAGGTTAGACGTGAGACAGTGTGTTTGTGTCACGCCCTGGCTCTGGGGACTCTAGTATGTTGAGCCAGGGTGTGAGTTTTCATTTGTGTTCGGTCTAGTATTGTGTTTCTATGTTGGCCAGTGTGGTTCTCAATCAGAGGCAACGTGAATCAGCTGTTGCTTGTTGTCTCTGATTGGGAACCATACTTAGTCAGCCTGTTTCCCACAGTATGGTGTGGGATCTTGTTCCTGTATAGGTTTGTGTTTTGCACCTTTGGACGTCACGTTATCGTTTGTTGTTTTGGTCGTGTTATCATTCTAATTCATAAAATATGTTCACCTTCAACGCTGCGCCTTGGTCCTCCTCCTTCGACGAGCGTGACAGAAGATCCCACCAAGACTGGACCAAGCAGCGTGTCCAGGAGCCATCGCCAGGGAGATCTCTAGCGGATCTCCTTCGCCTCCTCGAATGGGTCAAGCCGGGTGAGGAAGAGAGGGGCTTGACTTGGAAGCAGAAGGGCAAAAGGCTGGCGAGAGATATGGAGACCTGGTCAACGGGTAGGAGAGAAGCCCAGACATTTTTTGGGGGAGGCTCACACCGTGGACGACGGGGCAGTAGGAGACCGCGATAGAGCGGCCCAGCGGGTTGGCAGAGGAGGCCGCCAGGTTACGGGGGCCACTGGTCAAAAAGGGGAAGGAAGGTGTAGAGGCACGGCGAGAGGTACTGGGGTGTGTTACCAGTCCGGTCCGGCCCGTTCCTGATCCCTGCGTAGGGCCAGTGGTGTGTGTCCCCAGTACGGTCCGGTCTGTTCCTGTCCCTTGCGCCGAGCCTGTGGTGCGCGTCGCCAGCCCAGTCCGGTCCATTCCTGCTCTCCGCACCAAGACAGTGGTGCGCGTCGCCAGCCCGGCCCGGCCTGTTCCTGCTCCCCGCACCAAGCCAATGGTGCGCGTCGCCAGCCCGGCCCGGCCTGTTCCTGCTCCCCGCTCCAAGCCAATGGTGCGCGTCGCCAGCCCGGCCCGGCCTGTTCCTGCTCCCCGCACCAGGCCAATGGTGCGCGTCGCCAGCCCGGCCCGGCCTGTTCCTGCTCCCCGCACCAGGCCAATGGTGCGCGTCGCCAGCCCGGTCCGGCCCGCTCCTGCTCCCCACACCAAGCCAGTGGTGTGCGTCGTCAGTCCGGCACGGCCCGTGCCTGTTCCACCGGTGCCTGGTCCGGCACCGGTCAGCTGCTTCACGCCGGAGCTAGAGCAATCCGCTCCACCAGTGTGCAGTCCAGCTCCGGCCAGCGGGGCCAGACCGGACCAGGGGTACTTTGGGGGGTTGGAGAGGGAGTGGGGATCAGGCCCGGAGCCGGATCCGCCGCCAAGGCGGAGTGCCCACCCGGTCCCTCCCCTGTGGTGTTTGGTTGGCGCGGCCGGAGTCCGCGCCTTTTGGGGGGGGGGAGGGGTACTGTCACGCCCTGGCTCTGGGGACTCTAGTATGTTGAGCCAGGGTGTGAGTTTTCATTTGTGTTTGGTCTAGTATTGTGTTTCTATGTTGGCCAGTGTGGTTCTCAATCAGAGGCAACGTGAATCAGCTGTTGCTTGTTGTCTCTGATTGGGAACCATACTTAGTCAGCCTGTTTCCCACAGTATGGTGTGGGATCTTGTTCCTGTATAGGTTTGTGTTTTGCACCTTTGGACGTCACGTTATCGTTTGTTGTTTTGGTCGTGTTATCATTCTAATTAATAAAATATGTTCACCTTCAACGCTGCGCCTTGGTCCTCCTCCTTCGACGACAGTTTGTATAAAACAGGAGGTTAGTCAAACAAAGTGATGCTGCCGTGACGCCGGTGTGTCCACAGATGCGTTGATCTGAGTCTTGTCAGCCGTTTTGTTTTGCTTCCTCAACTCCACCTCCAAATTCACTTAAGCACTTCCTGTCTAGGTAACCATGTTGACTGGCAGATGCTTCCAGAAGGCTGGGAGCCGCTGAGAGTTCCGTGGTAGGGCCAGGGAGAGATAGAGCTTCTTTTTCATATTTTCTCCTTTTGAAGATTTGGTTTTCATTCAAACATTTTTTATTGATTGACCTGCTTTTTCTATGAAGGAGTTGACAGCTACTTACACAAGGACCTGAAGTTTAGAGAGAAGCGGGGGGGGAGAAGATGAAGAGACTCCAACAGAGATCCACACACTCACTCACTCCCTTCACACACTTCCTCCGTTCCCCTGCAGCTCCTCTCAGTAAATCTGTTACATATATAGTCCCATTTGAGGAGAAGCAGTCTGTTTCCCAATGGAGGGAACTGATCTTATCCCACTATAAAGCGTCCCACCATAAACCTTCCCCCCCAGTTAGACCCCAGGAACATCAGAAGGGGATCCTCAGCTTGGAGCTCCAGAGATTACTCCGATCATGTTCCCTCTCTCTCGCCAAATAACATTAGACCATTAACCCCTACTCATCATCTCTTTCTTTCCAATGAGCGTGCCTATGAGCGTGCCTATGAGCGTGCCTATGAGCGTTCCTATGATCGTTCCTATGAGCGTGCCTATGAGCGTGCCTATGAGCTTGCCTATGAGCGTTCCTATGAGCGTGCCTATGAGCGTTCCTATGATCGTTCCTATGAGCGTGCCTATGAGCGTGCCTATGAGCGTGCCTATGAGCGTTCCTATGATCGTTCCTATGAGCGTGCCTATGAGCGTGCCTATGAGCTTGCCTATGAGCGTTCCTATGAGTGTTCCTATGATCGTGCCTATGACCGTTCCTATGAGCGTTTCTATGAGCGTGCCTATGAGCGTTCCTATGAGAATTCCTATGAGCGTGCCTATGAGCATACCTATGAGCGTGCCTATGAGCGTGCCTATGAGCTTTCCTATGAGTGTTCCTATGATCGTGCCTATGACCGTTCCTATGAGCGTTCCTATGAGCGTGCCTATGAGCGTTCCTATGAGCGTTCCTATGATCGTTCCTATGAGCGTGCCTATGAGCATACCTATGAGCGTGCCTATGAGCGTTCCTATGAGCGTGCCTATGAGCGTTCCTATGATCGTTCCTATGATCGTTCCTATGAGCGTGCCTATGAGCGTTCCTATGAGCGTTCCTATGAGAATTCCTATGAGCGTGCCTATGAGCGTGCCTATGAGCATACCTATGAGCATGCCTATGAGCGTGCCTATGAGCGTGCCTATGAGCGTTCCTATGATCGTTCCTATGATCGTTCCTATGAGCGTTCCTATGAGCGTTCCTATGAGCGTGCCTATGAGCGTTCCTATGAGCATTCCTATGAGCGTGCCTATGAGCGTACCTATGAGCGTGCCTATGTGCGTTTCTGTGTGCGTGTGTGTGTTTGTGTGTCTCTGTACCTGTGCGTGTCTCTACAGAATTCATTCATTCATTCTGTACAGACATATACAGGTACAGAGACACACAAACACACACACGCACACAGGAACGCACATAGGCACGCACGTGTATTTTTGTGTCAAATCGCTAGTTGGCAACCCATCCCTTACAGGATTAATGGCAACATAAACAAACTCACAGTGATTAAAATGACTCACAGGGATAATTCAGTGATCATTCTTCTGGTGTTCTGCAAAATGCTCACCGCATAAAGAGTGAAAAATAAATCAATACATAATACCGATAATAATAGCAGTAAAAATAATAAAAATAAATACATACAGAAAAATTAAACGTAAGGCCTTTTAATCCCGGTCTGACACACATAGAAGATTCAAGTGTGATTGAGGCCTAAACACAATCTACTTTATATACAGTTGAAATCGGAAGTTTGCATACACCTTAGCCAAATACATTTAAACTCAGTTAACAATTCCTGACATTTAATCCTAGTAAAAATTCCCTGTCTTAGGTCAGTTAGGATCACCACTTTATTTTAAGAATGTGAAATGTCAGAATAATAGTAGAGAGAATGATTTATTTCAGCTTTTATTTCTTTCAACACATTCCCAGTGGGACAGAAGTTTACATACACTCAATCAGTGTATGGTAGCATTGCCTTTAAATTGTTTAACTTGGGTCAAATGTTTCGGGTAGCCTTCCACAAGCTTCCCACAATAAGCTGCGTGAATTTTGGCCCATTCCTCCTGACAGAGCTGGTGTAACTGAGTCAGGTTTGTAGGCCTCCTTGCTCGCACACGCTTTTTCAGTTCTGTCCACACATTTTTCTATAGGACTGAGGTCAGGGCTTTGTGATGGCCACTCCAATACCTTGACTTTGTTGTCCTTAAGCCATTTTGCCAGAACTTTGGAAGTATGCTTGGGGTCATTGTCCATTTGGAAGACCCATTTGCGACCAAGCTTTAACTTCCTGACTGATGTCTTGAGATGTTGCTTCAATATATCCACATAATTTTCCTTCCTCATGATGCCATCTATTTTGTGAAGTGCACCAGTCCCTCCTGCAGCAAAGCACCCCCACAGCATGATGCTGCCACCCCTGTGCTTCACGGTTGGGATGGTGTTCTTCGGCTTGCAAAGCGCACCCTTTTTCCTCCAAACATAACAATGGTCATTATGGCCAAACAGTTCTATTTTTGTTTCATCAGACCAGAGGACATTTCTCTAAAAAGTACGATCTTTGTCCCCATGTGCAGTTGCAAACCGAAGTCTGGCTTTTTTATGGTGGTTTTGGAGCAGTGGCTTCTTCCTTGCTGAGCGGCCTTTCAGGTTATGTCGATATAAGACTTGCTTTACTGTGGATATAGATACTTTTGTACCTGTTTCCTCCAGCATCTTCACAAGGTCCTTTGCTGTTGTTCTGGGATTCATTTGCACTTTTCACACCAAAGTACGTTCATCTCTAGGAGACAGAACACATCTCCTTCCTGAGCGTTATGACGGCTGCGTAGTCCCATGGTGTTTATACTTGCATACTATTGTTTGTACAGATGAACTTGGTACCTTCAGGCATTTGGAAATTGGATGAACCAGACTTGTGGAGGTCTACAATTTCTTTTCTGAGGTCTTGGCTGATTTCT